GGAGATGCAGTTCCTGTCACTCCTTCCGTTGCAGGTTCTCGTTCAGTACTTGTGCTCGATGACCTTTCAGAATCAGTTACAGAAACAGAACTAGATCTCTCTGGTGATTCTGTCGGTCTCTGTGTCGATGATGGTGATGCATTTTCTGTCACTCCTTCCGTTGCAGGTTCTCTTTCAGTACTTGGGCTTGATGACCTTTCAGAGTCGGTTACAGAAACGGAACTAGATGTTTCTAGTGGTATCGTTGTAGTCTGCGTCAATAATGATGATACATTTTCTGTTACTCGCTCTGTTGCTGTTTCTCTTTCAGTACTTGGGCTCGATGACCTTTCAGAATCAGTTGCAGAAACAGAACTAGATCTCTCTGGTGATTCTGTCGGTCTCTGTGTCGATGATTCAGATTCGGTTTCTGTTACTTGCTCCGTTGCAGTTGGGATTGCAGTTTCTTCTTCGGCAATTTTACTTGATGGCCATTCAGTTAGAGTTACTGTTTCAGAGACTGTAGTTCCCTGTGATTCTGTCTGAGGCTGTGTTGTTGATGTAAACGAAGTTTGTGTTTCAGTCTCTTCTGTTGACGGCTTGATAGTTTTTAGTTCTTGATTATGTGTTGTCAACTGCGAAGTTTCTTTATCGTTTGTTGATGTTTTACTTTCTAGTGATTCTGTTGTTCGTTGATCAGTTGGCTCTGTAGATGGTTCTATAGATGAATCTTCAGTTGAAGCATCGTTTGTTCTAGTTTCTCTATTCGTTGTTGGTGTAGTAATACTTGTAATTGATTTTCCTGTTGATAGAATAAGATTAGATTTTATATTACTTTCTATTTATGTCTTAACTTGTTTTACGTAATTAATTGGGATTAATTGGTATTTTTCCATGTAGTCGTTGTTTTTTATTTTTCTTTCTTTAAGCGTTTCCTTTTTTTTTGTGTGTTTCTATGAAATTACATCTATTTTATATCTTGGCTTTTTTTTTTATTATAGCGGTTTTATACTAATCATTTATTTTTATTTTTTAAAGATAAAATGATATTATTATTTAAATAAATCGTAATCGTAATTTTAATGAAATTTAGGAATCATTAATAATTATTTTGTTTTAAAAGAGGACTATCTGATATTTTTTCCTTACTCTTGTAGAAATTTTCAATACAAATTCTGAAGTTTTATATATTTTTTTAAGTATTTATATAATTTTATATATCTTATTATAATTGCGTCTTAACTGTATGTGTTTCAAGTAGCGATGGAATATGAAACACTTAGAATTTTTTTATCTAGACCGATTTATAGAAAGTCTAAGAAGAAGTGGAAACGATTTTAAAGATTAACTTGATTTCATGTAGAAATTAAAAGACATTTCTTTAAACGTATGTCTCGTTTGTGTTTGTTTTTGTGTTATATATAGCGAATTTGATTTCTAACAGTTTATATGCGCATTCTTTGAAAATATTTTGGAAATGTTTCTTTCGATTCCAAATGCTTACTCGTAAAAGCTTAATCAATGATTGTCTTACTTTTTTATATGCTTTGGTTGCGCTCAAAATTTTATGGAAAATTTTTTTTTTTATTTCTTCATTTTATTGAGTTCTATTTATCTAATGAAAGAATTATTCTTAGAATAAAACCTTTTTTTCGTTTTAAAATAAAGACAGATAAAGCATTTTGTTGTTGTTTAGACGTACTAAAATAATCTCTAAAAAAATTTCTGTTTACTTTGAGACATCTTACACGCTAAGGAAACCTCAACCATTTCGAACATAATTCGAAGCATAAAAATATTGACATACGTTTCGAAGTCCTGATAAGTCTCGAGTTTCTTTCGTCACTCTTTTATTGTTTTAAAAAGAATTTATTTTTCGTGCGTGAAATAAATCGACTTTAACACCGCTCATTTTGATTTCTTATTTTATCACTTGTTTCGTAAGAAGATTCAAAATGATCTTTTAATGTAATTCTCATCAACCTCTTAATTCCATGACATAAAAATTCGATTTGTTCATTATATCATTTTACTGAATATGAGATAAGCCCGATTCTTTTATTACTCTATAGATATGTACGTTTCTTAAAAAACCTTATTAGAAAACCATGTAAAAAAGAAAAAAAGGGTTCAAGGTATTCAAATATATACGAAATACTTCTAATTTCAGATATTTTTTAAAATTCACATATTTCGTGTACTTTGATTTATTCGTGTTTTACGTATTCAACGGTCTAATTCCTAAAATCAAGCAACATGGGAATAATTAGTAAAACGTATAGGTGATGATCTCTCCGGAGAAACAAATGACAAAAACCGTGTGCTATAGATTTCAAATAGATAAGGTAAAAACTGCGATATCTCTGATAATATTAAATAAATGTAAGAAATTGTTAATAGAGAGAAGTAACTCGAGCCCATAAAAGAGAGAAAGTAAAAAGATGAGATTTTTTTTTTTAATTCGTCTTACTACAAGCAATAAAACGAGGAATATCATAAATAAATGTATTTATGATCATTCGAATCAAAAATTTTTTTTAAGTTAATAGTAATTGAAAATATATATGATAAATAATCTCGTAAAATATCGAATACTCGTCAAACTTTCAAAACTTTTTACGAAATTGTCCTACTTTTAAAAAGTTTCCAAGCTTCAAATTATGTTCGAAATAATTCCAAATTTCATAAATGTTATGGGATAGAAAGTTTTTTTTTTTTTTTACTTTACCTGTAGTAAATGGGCTACAACGAGGGTTTCGTACTCTGAAAGGATGTTTGCAAGCTTCCGCTCTTCGATCCCATACTGTCCCTCCTTCGCATATCATTTCAAATACTCGAAACGTACTGTTGACTCTTGCCATACACATATAATATTTCGTACAATCCGAAGGGTGTTCTACAAAACCTTGTTCGATACATTCCACTACCGTTGGCACTGTTGGTCCAGGTGGATTGGTAGTACTAATATCCGTATCATCTTCCGATGTTGTCGGTGCAACAGTAGTTGTACTAGTTGGTCGTGCCGTTTTTCTAGTTTTAACTTTAACTGAACAACAACATTATGAATATTATATGCGAGAAAATATGAAGTTCGTTTGTTAATAAACCCGTACTTTTTTTTTTTCATTGTTTTTACTTGAAAAATAATGAATACACATTTTATTACCTGTAGTAGGCTTTGTTTTCGGCGTTGGTATAGTCGTAGGCTTTGTTCTTGGAGTCCGCTTAGGTTTAGGGGTCCTTTTTGGTTCCTTTGTCGTAGATGTAGCTTTTGCATCACCGCATTCTGCTCTTCCACATTCCGCAGGTAAAGTACATTGTCCATAAATTGTCGAATAAACAAGTCCGAGTTTGCATCGACGAAGGCGACGATGATATTTGTTAAGTGGACTTAAAGTACACTCGTAATACAATCGGCAATTGTGAGGATGAGCAAATGAACCCGGTGTAGTGCATTTGAAGGTGTAAGTTACTTGTTCTTCATTTTCTATATAAAGATGGGTTTAATTGAAATGATTTAAATCGTATAAAAGAAAAAAAAATATGTTCGTAATAATAATTTCAATTTTATTACCATTTTCCACTGGGGAAATTTCCGATGTATTCTCGGTTAGATTAGGAAAACCGTGGCTAAGTGCTAGATTAGTAGTCACAAGATAGATTAGGATCCTCCACATCGCTATAATTTTTCTTGCCCCTATAATAGGCGAGAATGAAAAAACGAAAAGAGAGCATTCACCGATAGTGGATAAAAATCGACCGTTATTCTTGACTTTCTTCAACGAAATGATATTCTTCTAGTTATATTGTACGATGTAAAAGTTAATCAAACAGTATACTTATACATATGTACATATGCATATATGCATATATGTATATATATATATATATATATATACAAATGTATATACTTATACAATTAAGCCGTTAATTTGCCTTGACTGTTCGTCGTATCAGTAAATCAACAAAAATTTCACGAGACTTTCCAATTGAATACATTTGAAAAAGAAATCAATTCATCAGGGATCATGTCAGGAATTACGCGATATAAAGTAACGTATTTATATTTAAATGAATTAATAAACGTTCGAGATACTTCGAAAGGATAACGGGATAAGAAAAGAGATGATAAAAGGGACGATAAATAATATCTTTTTATTTTTTTTTTTATTTGATATCTTTCGATAGTTGTTTCTTCGACAATTTACATTGGAGAATTTTTATTTCTTTTTTTTATATATAACTTAGATATCTCTAATTATTATAATATCCGAATGATCCTAGTGTACATGATGTCTCGTTGGTCAGATGAACGTCTTTTCATTTGTTTAATTTTTGACAATCTACGATTTTTTGTGCTTCGATCTGAAAAAAACATTTGCAATCATCTCAAAATGTTACATCAGAAAGTAAACGTTATTCAAGTATCATTTCATACCAGAATAAAATTATACAAATTAAGCAATTGTTCCAATGACGGTCTTGCTTGTTGTGGTAAACACCTCGGATTATTTGAATTAGCAGTTTGTATATTTTGATTTCTTTTTCCCCAACCTGTTGAAAAGTTCAATTGCCCTTCAGCTTCATGAAGGTAAGCCAAAAGAATCAAAGTTGCGAGAAATATCGTGGTAATGACGTTTAATCGGCTCTTGGAATACCTAAAAATACATATTCACGTTTATTTGATAAGCGGAGCCTTTTTGATTCTTAAATAAATAATAAGCATCTACGACTCGACTTTTTACGACGTAAGGTAAACGAATATTTAATTTCAACGTTTGCGTTTGATTACGCTTTTTCATTGTTCAGCCATGTGAAAAATTGTTGCCACGCGGAGAAATTATTTGAAAAAAAAAAAAAAAAAATGAACGAAATGAGTAAAATAAAAGTATAAAGAAAATATCTTCAAAATAATAGTTCTTTTCAATTTGTAAAACTTACATTTTTGAATCCGTGCTGATATTCCTTCAGGATAATAGCTGTAAATGACACACACTGGCTTTCTTTAGCGAACAGGGTGTTTCGATCAGTAAATCAACGTTTGAGAGCAACTGATCGTATATTTGCCCTTTTTATACCCCTTTGGCATCTTACTATGTCTTTCTTTTACGTCATATTCTCACCCCTAACTTACACCCCTAATTAATTTCAATGTACGTAACGAGAAGACTGTAAAATTGACCTCCATTGTTATTCTTTGTGCAATACCGACAATACTACTGGGAATGATCTTCTATTCGACTCTATCTTTTTTCTCTATTTCTTCGATCAGTATAATTTGTAATCTGTTTCTTAAATTCTTGTTTAAATAAATGAATAATTAAATAAAAAAAAAAAAAAGAAGAAAAGAAGAAAAGAAAAATTGTAAATACGAAAGAAAACATTAATTTTGTAATTACCATTGCAATTGTTTCTTTTTTTTTCACATGATTTCTTATGGGTTTCTATAATTTAGATAGGTGTTTTAACGTTATATTAATAAAAATAATTTTATCTTTACTGTGACACCTGTGTAAATTTGACAACGAGATGACGATTTTGATCAAAAAATAAAATATTATTACGTAAAAATAAAATTTCATCCAAAGATAATGTTTATTAATATATATATATATATATGAAAACAAAATATTATTATCGAGTTCTTTTTTTATATTTTAGTTTTTTATTAATTACAAAACGTAGATCGTAATATTTGTAGGTTGAGCGAAATGAAATGCTGTAATTTCTTGATCGATTATTGAAGCAACATGAAAGAATAGTCTACGGGCTTCTTATCAATTTACTAATTATCGTAACAGTTGGATACGATTGATCGTTTTAATGAGTTCTTGTTTTCTTTCCTTTCTTCGATCATAATGTTCTGCTTAAACAAGATGGATAAGTAAATGAATTCGAACAGTCTAGAATGTTTTTACAAATATAATACAAAATTATTATTATTATTATTATTATTTTTTATTATTATTATAAAAAGAAAAAAAAGTAAAGGAATAATTGAAAGAAAAAAGAATAAATTAAAAAAAAAAAAATCTATCTTACTAGATATAGTCAGTATTCAGTTAATTTTTCCGTAAATCATTTGTGTTAGAGCAAAGAGGTTTTTATCTCGATGATTTATAAATATATTTGTGAAATGTTTAATCTGTTATAGCTTTTCGACAACGATTTTATGGAATGGAGAATGACAAAAATAGGATGAAAAATGACGATCGTCAAGAGATAAGTGCGAAAATTATTGCGTGCTAATGAATGTATGTAAGAAATGATAGGCTTTTTATTACGCTCGAATCAACTTATAATGTAGATATATTTATATACAGATATATAAATACACAATAGGTAGGCTAACAACAACTATAGGAAAAAATTAATATAATTTAAAAAAATAATTTTAATATAAGATCGAGTAAATATATCATTACATAATCATATAATTACATTCCTAATGCGCGCGATACACAGATACATACATTACTATTTATAACTACATAATTATATATTTAGTCTATTTTACAACACAATTATTTCGATAAATTATATTTAGATTTTCCTGTAGTCGTTTAGGCTTACCTATTTCGTATTTCATTCTGAAATGTCGGTACCAGCGTTAACAATCAGCAGCAATTGCTGAAAGTCCGAAGTAAGAATTTCCATCGCTGAAAAGATTGCATTTTGAATCGAGAAATTGATATTTGAAATTGGCACGATTTGATGTTATCGGTCCATCAAGTAACAGATCCGTTTTATTATCGTGAAAATTATCGAAGCAACGATCACTGAATAAATAGATAATGAAATATCAGAGGTTTTTTTTTTTTATAGGTGTATTTGTTTTAATGCGTATGATATGCGGTGAGTGAAACAACGTTACGATTAGATCTTTTATTTGATAGCCACGTCATTGCATTTATATTACGTCAATTCGAATCAATTTCTCGGTACAAAAAATCGTTCATTCCAAAGACACGAAATTCAGTTTTTGCTTCGAGCTTAGGTGATTCAGGAATGATTTTCTTTAACCCTTTGACTACGAAAGGCGTATATATGTATATATATATACGCTGTCCATAGAGAATGATAAATAAATGAGCTGAACGATGTGCAATAGCCAGTCACCATAATGACTGATCTACAAATATCGCACCGTATATATATATTGATGATTTCGTACGATAATGCGCTGCAGTCAAAGGGTTAAACTAATGTCATACTGGGCATAACAGCATAAATGGAACTGGAAAAAGAATCTATTATGTCCAGCATGACATTGGACTGCGTTAAGAGTTAAGTATTTATTAAAGTCTATCGAAGTTGTCCGCTGTTCAACACCAGCTTTCACTTTCACGTTCACCGACGCCATCGCTTTCTTCATCACTAGATTCTTCTCCGTACATGTCGGCGAGTTTTCTAAATCTTGGTCCGAAATTTGATAAATAATTGAAATTGAGATCTCCGTCATCGGTACCTATTATCAAATAAAATAAATGCATATATATTATATATAAATAGTACATTAGAACAATTGTATATACATGATATAACAGAGTATATAATTGTAAAATCAATTTTTTGACTGATGTGAGCTAATTTCAAAATTATCGGCACAATTGTAGTGATACATACATGAAGCTAATGACGACAAGGAACCGTCAGAATTTCCTTCTCCTTCGTAAGCGTAATGCCTAACATCGTCGAACGGATTCGTGTCGGGATCTTTATCGCAGCTTTCCTTCTTTCCATCTAAGAAACCACAAATATCTGGTACCTCGTCAGGAGCTAAAAATTCAAAATAGTCGTTTTGATTTGCATGAATTTTTTTTAAATATATATTAAATATTTTATCTGAAATTTTGATTACCTCTGCCTTGAAGACCAACAGGTGCTATTTTAGATTCAATTGGTGGTGCATCGTAAATAGCTCTTAATACATTCAGGTCGTAGCCAGTGTCTACCTCGCCGCCACCTTCGTCTTCATAATTAATAATGTTATCCCTTATATCATCCATATCTTTATAGAGGTCATCAGTCTTTCTTCTGCGGACTACTACCGCTAACAGCAATATCAATAAAATCGCTACGCAAACTAGGATTGCGACTAAAAAATTAGTGTCGATGCCAAACGATACAGCTTTTGCCATACCATGATCACAACCTGGATCTATATTTCTTGAAAACGCTGGCATTCCTAAATTATATGTCTACGAGAAAAAAATATAGTGTTTTACTTAATAATACATTACTTTACCATTTTTTTTTTGTAATTTCAATGTCAAGAATAACTTACATTTCCATTTATGGTCATATTTCGTATGCAACCAACAAAACCTTTTTCAGTAGGTTTGTGATTCCAACCCAAGTTCTTTGCTAAATATGCTAGATTCGTTAATGTACCGCCCACTTGCATCGGACTATTTACATTAAGGAACTCATTGGAACCTTCTGGCGCAGTCAAACTCATGCAAGCTGATATGCCGCAATTATCTACTTTCATTTCAATTGACTATAACGAAGAATTAATTATTATGCAATTAGTTTTAAAAAGTAAATTGCTTCAAAATATGATTTTAAATGTAACTCATCAAAATTATATCACTCACTGTTTTGGTCCAATAAACATCAATCCTATGACTCTTGCCGTCGGTTAATTTAATTTGTCTTTGATTTAATCTAATAGTACCCGTACCATAATCAACATAGAGAACAGCGTAACCTTGATCAATTTCTAGTGCCATAAAATCTTGAACTCCTAATTTTGGACTATATATCATTGGGCCAAAATAAAATATCAGACCACTATCGATTTCTGGCGTTATTTCTAAGCCTACAGATAAAAATAAAAATGCATGTAGAGAGCACAACAATTTATTATAGCGATTGATTATAAGTTTAATTAATTTTTACCTAAGTGTGAGTCATCACAGGCCTGACCAGGAGGTGGCATTACAGCCCAGCCATCGCCGTGGAAACCTATGCCTAATAATTCACATCTTGGACCCTCCAATCCTGGGGGACATTCGCATCTATCAGCTAATGGTGTACCACCATTTAAACAGACAATAGGTTCAGCGACATGACAAGTACATTGAGGTTCAATAACAGCTCTGACACCAACGAAGGAACTGGTGTTCGTATAAACTGGATAAGGAACGTTACTAGCGTTTAAGAAACTTCGACAAGAATTGTTGCAATGCACTTTTTCGTAGAGACACTCGTCGATATTCACCATCAATATATCTGCTTTCATCGCACGTTCAATATGTTCAGAATTTTGTGATAAGATGGTATTTAATTTTTCAGGAGCATAATAAGGACTACCATGTGCTGAAAATCTGACATCTAAGAAAGTCTTGTTGTGATAAGGAGAATGAAGAACGGTGAAAACATCAACGTTGTCTATCGATGTATTCAACATGTTGGCTATCTTTTCCTGGAATATATCTTTTTTACTGACACCATTTTGATCCGGTTCGACAAACTCTTCCGCAGTTATACCAGTGAAACGTACGGATCCGGACCTAATCACTGCTTCTTCAGGAATTTCCTTTACCGTAACATTAACGTAAGCGTATACTTGATGACGAGCAATATTAGGAAGTCTTTCTTCTGTTACGAGAAATTTCATATGGAAGGTATCGTTCGAGGTACCAGACAATAGAGTTATCATGCCGGTATTTTCATCTAAATCAAAACCTTCTTGTGTCGAAGCCCAAGTAAAGTGTTTATCAGGTAAATCCCAATCGTCTGAATCCTTGACATAAACTCGTCCAATTTTTGTATCCGGTGCATCACCTTTGTAAACGTAAACGAAAATTGAACTCGAACCCTCTTCCATACGATTGTCATTCTCATCGCCAATAATGACTGTCAATGTCGAAGTTCCTGTCATCGGTGGTTTTCCACTGTCCATTATAGCTATCGGAATGTTATAACTTTTCCTTTCCTCGCGATCGAAGGTAACCTTCGCATAAAGGTCCTTGTCACGGATGTCAAATTTAGATAAAATCTCTTTGTCTGCGGTCTCGTCGATCCAAAACTTAAATGGCGGTCCATTGTCATCGGAATCCCTGTCCCGAGCCTTCAACTCTGTTATTTTGTCGGGTAGTTTATTTTCACCCCAGACTACGTACGTCATGTCGAGATAGGGAGCGTTGTCGTTTATGTCGATTAAAGTTATGTTTACGGTAGCTAATTCTCGTAAAGCTGTTGGCGAGTCATCTTCGTCACGTGCCATTACCATCACCTAAAACGAATGAAACAAGAATAAAAAGAGTTAAAAATAAAATATTTAAAAGAGAATAAAATTAATTAGATTAATGTATAAAATATATGTATCTTGAAGTATTTACCGTCCATACGGGATAACCAAAAGGTGGGTCTCGATCGAGTGGTTTCTTCAAGGTAATACAACCAGATTTGTTGATACTTAGCAGGGGTTTCTGATCATCTTTTAGAATAAAATAGGCTATGTGTTGATCCGCGTTTCTATCCTTTATATCTGGATCATAGGCGACTACGGTCGTGATGCAGCCTGAAAATAAATACAGTAGTTAATAAACAAATATAATGGAGCAAATATTTATGAATACTCACCATCGACCAATTTTTCTTCTTCGATGGTTGGATTCGTATCGAAATCTTCGAAAACAGGAGGATTGTCGTTCACATTTTCAATGAAGATTTTAACGTTCGCGGTATCGTTGAAAACGCCATCGAATGCTCTCACGGTTAGATTATATTCCGTGATTTTTTCATAATCCAACGGATTGTTAACACGAATCTTTCCTGTAGTACTTTCTATGTAAAAGCTATCATTGGTATTACCCTGAATGATGCTGTACGTAACGGGACTTGCGGTATCAGCATCTAAAGCTTTTACCTCAATAACTACAGAGTTTATATTTGCGTTTTCTAAAATAGCATTGGCAGTGTAAACGGCTTGCGTAAAATGTGGCGCATTGTCGTTTTTATCAGCAATCTCAATACGAAACAATTGCTGCACTTTGTTGTGTTCTCCGGTGTTGTATAAGGCGCTCGGTGAATTATCAGTCGCGGTAATCCAAACGCTGTAAGTACTTTGAGCCTCCCGATCGAATGTAGTTCGAGTAGTTATATTCCCGGTATGTTTGTCAATGGCGAATAGGTCCTTAAAATCGTTTAGCTCGTAGGTGACCTAAACAAAAAAGAATAATCAATAAGAATTTGAATGAACATCTATGAAGAAGAGTAAAAAAATTGATTATGAGCTAAATAAAGAAATTCTGATTGAAAGTGTGTTTACCTTATTGTGTGCCGCGGTACCATCGGCATCTATGGCCTTTACTTGCATAACAGGAACTCCAGGTGGTTCACTTTCAAGAACACTACCCTTTGTGAGCTCTCGAAAGGCCGGTACATTGTCGTTCACATCAAGAACATCTATGTCTATCACCGTTTCAGCGGCCAAGTCATAATTATTCCACGCTCGAACTATCAACGAGTATACCTTGTTACTTTCATAGTCTAAATGCTTCGTTAATTTAATGTCAGCTGTGTTCTTCGTTGACTCAAGACTGAAAGAGGTAGTAAATTATAAATAGAAATAGAGCGTTAAATGTTTATCATGATCATTGTTCGTAATAGTGATAAACGCGAAAGGATATGTGTATATATATATATAATACATTAGGAGCGAGATAACGTCGCTCGTTTCCTACCGAAACGTGCTATCCTTGTTGGTCTGTTCCGTTTTACCAGTAACAAGAACGAATTGAAGATCCGGATTGTCATCGATGTTCGAGACAGCCTGGAGTCGTACGATGCTAGCACCAAAATCACTGAAATTCTCCAAAAGTTTGATCGGTTCCATAGGCCTTGGTAGGAAAGCAGGTGCCTTTTTGTGCGATTCGACAACACGAATATCTAAACTGATAATACTTGATTTTGGATTTTCACCTTGGTCTTTAGCGGCGGCCGTCATAGAAAACGTGTAATCTGGATTTTTCTAAAAAATTATATCAAATTGATTGTTTTCTTTTAGTATCGTCAAAATAAATATTGAAGCGTAACGTGTAGTTTATAATTAAACAAAAACAACATAATGTTGTATCTTTTACTATTATATTCGTATAAAATTTTGTCGGATAGATGGCTTACGTCTATGATTTTGTTGAGATATATGACACCGGTATTACGATCGATCCTGAAATATACACGGTCTTCAGATTTGCTCGAGGAAAGGCTGTAGCGAACGACAGAATTGTTACCGTCGTCTATGTCGGTCGCAGATACTCTCATGACTTCACGATTCAATGGTAAATCCTGTGGTACCGATTCCTTGTATGCCTGTGAAAAGGTTTCAAAACAACAAATATTAAAATAACATCCAGGTTCGAATTACTAAAAAAAATAAATAACAAAGAATTACGAGTAACATGCCAATCGGAAATGAATCATGCGCGTTATTAGTATTAGTTCATTGCCGTTGCAGGACAAAACAAATAACAAAAAGAAAAATGAAAATATAAATAATCAAGTACGATGGTAGTAAAAGAGCTTTGACGCAAAAGAGAGTTTCGAAGAAAGATTCTTTTTTACAAGAAAAAGAAGAACAAGTATTGCTTCTATTTTTTATTTTTTTTTATTTTACATGCCGATTAGATTATTCCTATTTTCCTTCTCAAAGAGCTTTCCCTGTGTATCATGGATCCACCAAACAAACCCTTTGACACGGAATTCTTCGAGAATCTCGTTATTGACAAGCTCTTAGAAATATGTATATCTCGAGGAAATATTTTGTAGTATGGAAAGGTATGGAAAGATGTGCGTGCGTGCCTAAAGGTACAAAGAGGTACATAAAGAGAGAGAGRGAGAAAAAAAGAGAGAAAGAATGAGGACAAGGAAACACAACACATATGCATTCGTCGTTACATCATCCAACAAAAATTCCATTCACACTGAAATTTCGAAACCAACCTTCCACACATATCCACGGTAGACCTGGATTCGAAAAGAGAAGAAAAAATCGAGCAAAAATGTTGTTAGTACAAGCGATATTGGAGATGACATGAGCGAGAGAAAGGTTTGTTAGTAAAACTAATTGAAAAACGGAATATATGCGAATTCTAATTTTTTTTTTATGAGATAACTTTTAAAAGCGACGACATTCGTGATTAAACATTTGTGTTGTTAGTAAGGATATAATTATTTCAAAAAAAAAAAAAAATTATACGATCATACAAACGTTAATCCTCTTCCCCCCCCCGTAAAAAAAAAACGTTACGTACTTTATATACAAACAACTAATGATTTTTTACTTATATTTTAAAATTCATATCATTCATTTTTTTTTTTTTTCATGGAAACAAGAAGAGTCAAGAAAATGATTGCGTTATTTGAACGAATCGAGAAAAAAGCGGGGGGCCAAATCAAATGGAAATAATTTTCTGATTACGCACCACTTTGTCGAACACTGGTTGGTTATCATTGACGTCTTCGATCGTAACCTTGAAAGTACAACCGTCATCAAGCTGAGGCATTCCATTATCTGTAGCAAGAACTGTAAGATAAACCTCCTTTTCACGTGCCGGTTCGTCCCTGTCTAAGATTTGAGTTGTCCTGATCAATCCTGTCTTATTATTGATTTCGAACTTCAATCTTTCGTTGTGAGCCGTGACAAGAGCGTACGTGATTGTACCTGAAAAGAGAACAGATAAAAAAGAATAATTTATTTTCTTTCTTTTTTTCTATTCTAGTAAAAAAGAAAAGAAGTCTTCGATATATATATATATATATATATATATATATATATATAATAAGAAATTGGATTCTTTCATTATATTTACCTCCTTCGTCCGGTGGGTCTTGATCCTCGGCATGTACTTGAATGACCACTGTACCTGCTGGTTCTTCTTCCTTTACTACAGCGGCATACATCGAACAATTGGTGAACATAGGCTTGTGATTGTGATTCTTTCCTTGCTGTTGTATCTAACGATGAAAATTAAAAAAGAATAAGTAAAGAACATAAGTAAATATGATCCATGTATGTCGCAGATGTTAGGGTGAAGCAAAAGTTCGTGCGTTTATTGTATTACAAATTGTGTTTTAAACTTCATAATGATTTGTTTTTTGTAATATTTACTTCGGAAATATTAATAAAAAAAAAGCACGAACTTTTGTTTCATCCTAATATATAGATATGTAAGTGTCGTGTATCAATGATAGTTTTACATATGTAAGATTACAGAAGTAATCTGGAAGAGTGTAAGAAGACAGTTGAGCATGATAAGGAATGTTAATGATTAGGACTATGAGTTGTTGGATTATAATATGGTATAATCAAGGTATATATATACATAAGGTGAGTCATAAGAAGTAGGACACCTGAATACTTCTTTAACAAAACATAATTGTATCCTATTAATAACAAAACTGTAACTGGAGACTCATATTTCAGAATATGAACAAAATATTGTAATTCTATTAACATTAAATCGATTTTTCATTTAGTTTTTCTATTCCTGACAAAGCTACTTTTAGGACATGCTGTATATATATATATATTTTTAAACAGTCTTTAACTTATAATTAGTTACTATTACAGTAAGTAAAATGAAAGAATAATTTGTTCAAAAGTTAAAAATAAAAAAAAAAAATAAAAAAAGAGACGAATTAAAACGATAACGTATAAAAAGGTGATGAAAATGTAATGAAAAGAAAAGAACAAATGAAAAGAGAAACAAAAAAGGAGAAAAAGAAAATAAAAAAAAAGCAAGGCAGTTTCTCGTTCGACGGTAGGACAAAGCCGAGGATTAATCGGCCAAGTTTTTTGGACCTACCGCAATAAGACGCCTCATAAATTAAAGTGCTCTACGCGCTTATAAACCGTGCGCCATTAATCACGATTTCGAATCTTCTCACTCTCTTTCTCTTTCTCTTTCTCACTCTCTCTGTTTCTCATTCTCTTTCTGTCTTTATCGAGTGCACTCACGCGGCACTGTTCACCGATTATGTCGTGTTTTCTCCCTAGACGATGCAAAATTAAAGGGAACCCAAGGGAGAAACACAATGGGAAGGAGATAAAATATGAAAGGAAAATGGGTTCGATGGAATGAGATTGAGAAGTAGTAACGATCGGCGATTCGTTAAGTAGTCCATTGGATTTATTACTTCGTTTCTTTTTTTTTTTTCTTTTTTTCTTTTGATTGTTTTTATTACAAGCAAGTGTTGTATTCCGTTGGGTATTCCGCTAATATTTCACTCTTTTATTATATTCTTCCTCTCTTTTGATTTTTTATTTAATTGATATTTTTCTTTCCATTTGTAATACAATTGATAACAACATTTGAATCGTTAATAAAGGGATCCTTTTTACCGACGCGAAAAAAAGTCGCACAGATTCTTGGAATATAATGATAATAATAATAATAATAATGTGCGAAAAAAATAAAACCTTATATAAGAAAGTTGCTTTCTTTTTATCGAAGAATTTAGGAAAAAAAAAAACAAGAAAAAAAAAACAGAAAAAGGTTACGAAAAGCGTGCACGTTATCACGATCCTATTGGATAAGAACGGTCGGAGGAGATGTTTCTGAATATATAGAAGGGCGCCGAACAGAATTAAGTATAATTGGGAAAGCGTGTTGAGCTGGTGAGATGCACTTTCCGATAAAATGGCGAGATCGAGGCATGATCTTTCTTACTAAGGGAATGAGAGTGGGGGAGAGAGTTGGGGGAAAATAGAAAGCCCTTTTCTGAAGATAAGAGAAGTTTCAAGATAGTGTAAAATTCTGAAGAAAAAAAGAATATAAAAAAAAAGGAAAGGAAAGGAAAGGAAAGAAAGAAGAAAACTAAACACAAATGTTTTACCATGGATTCGTGAGCAAATGTAGTTCTTGAAATAAGAAATGATTTGATTTCTCGTGATAGAGAAAAAGGGGGTGGTGGGGGTAGTTACAGCGAGAAAAGAGAAGAGAAAGAGAGAGAGAGAGAGAGAGAGAGAGCGTAACAGGCGCAATGGCGTTTGTAAATATTTGACATCTCGCGAAAATCAACGATAGGATAAATCCATTAACTCAGCTGGAAAAGGTTCCGTTATAGAACTTGAGTGAGGAAACAAGAAGGAAAGGGGTGAATGAAGGTGTGAGATGGAAAAAGATTCACTTCGTTTCCAGAAGAATGAGATAGCGGTGAACGAGTAAACTGCGAGACATTGGTAAGAGAAAAAAGCTTTGGAATGTACAGAAACAAAAAAGAAAAAAAAAAGAACGGTAAAAAAATAAAGGAAAATCAAAAGAAAAGGAAAAAACGTGAGGAAGAGTGATAGAGGTTGAAGGAGGTATAGGAAGAGTGTAAGTGATTTGGAGGGAAAAATCGAATCAAGAACGAATGGAAAATGCACTTACCACTAATTCCTCTTCCTCGTTTAGAAACAGCGATTTCACGTCCAGGTGCCTTGAGTGTCTCAATCTCGTTGCATCGGCTGTAACATAAAGAACCGAGATACAGCCCATTTAGGATATTGCAGTCTGTACTAGAAGCGGCTTGGGATAGGCCAACGCAATGAGACACGTTATATGCGAGATACTGAGGTCTTTCTCTTTCTCTCTCTATCTATCTATTTCAGTGCAGCCTCTCTACATGAAACTAATGCTACGGAACTATTCTAATTATGAACCATTACATCTTCGACAGTATGTGTGTGTACGTGCTGGTGGCCTCTATATTTTAAATAAACTGCTATATCGAGTGTCAGTATCGAATAGTGAATTTATAATGAGGAAAGAAGATGAGAAATATTGTATTATTATTTATTTTTGTTTCTCATTTATTTTATATATCAAAGGAATACAAAAAAATGAAACAGTTTCTCTCTCCTTGACTAATAAACAAAATTGATTTCAACGATATATCGTTTTCCATTTTCAATTTCGTCCTGATAAAATATGAAGATTATTAAAATAATTCTCGCGGGTAGAAGGAAAGGGGAGGAGAGTTGTAGTTTAAAAATTGGAAAAAGAAAAAAAAAGGTTTTCGATAATTATTAAATAACAACAAGTTATAGGTGAATAATAATTTAGGAAAAAATATCCAAAAATAAATTGAAGAAACAATGGGAGAAAATATTCTCTCGTTTATTTGCAGTTGCACCTGTTTAATTTAAATCTCATTATTCGTAGAAAAATTTCTCGTCCTCATTAATAATAAACGTAAGTAGACAACAACAAGTGCGTGAGAGTACGCATTAGAACAACAACAGGACAACAGACGTGAGAATAGCTGCTGCTTCACAATGACAATAGCACGCACGGGAAAACCTTTTCTTCTCCCTTTTTATTCCTTTTTCCTTTTTTCTACCTTTATTTTATTTTATTTTCTAAAACACACATCTATCGTTGATAAGCAACTCTGTGATCGATGTAAAAACGAAGGGGAAGGGGATGAATCGAGGGTTCGAGTCTGAACAAGTTTCGATAAGTCTTCGGTGATCGATGTGAGAGAAAAAGAGAGAAAATGTGTGTGTTTTGAGTGTTTTGTGTGTATGCGTTGTTGTTGCTGCTGCTGCTGCTACTGCTACTACTCGGTTAAAGAAAAGTTTTGTTCTTTTATCATTTGACCGGTTTATTTCGAAGATTTCGATCGGACGTCGATCGAAGACGAACGATCCGATCCGATCCGATCGATCGAATGAAAGAACGTTACGATCGATCGGTTAGAGAAATGAAAAGAATTTCTTCAATGAATGAACGAAAAAAGAAATAAGAGTAGTACTCCCACCCCTACGATCCTCTTTTATACGATGATCCTCAAACGAGGGACGGTGAGAGAAAGAAAGAGAGGGGGATCAAGATGGAAAAAGAAAAAGGTAGTGTGGTTTTCTTTGCGAATAAAGTATTCTAAAAAAAAAAAAAAATAATAAAATAAAAAGAAAGGAAAGAAGAAAAGACAAAAATAAAAAGAAACAATCATGGTTTACCGCGATATTCGTGACAGGGGGAAAAAATTTATTGCTAATTACTTTTCATTTCATAGAATGGATAAATGCGTCATGTGTGTGTGTGTGTGTGTATTTCGCACCGATTCTCTCTCTCTTCTCATTTCTTTCTCTCTTTCTCTCTCTCTCTCTCTCTCTCTTCGATGCACCCGACCAACCGCAATACGTGACGACGACGATGCAATGTCATTTTCATCGAGCGTGAGCTGGCGCCGCAATGCGGTTAGCCCGCACTTAATACGCCTAACCCGCGCGATTTTTGAATCGACTCATTCAACCCCCATTCCCCATAACCCCTTTATACCCACCCCCCTCCATTACCTCATCTCATTCTCCCTTCTTCGTTTCTTTCAACAATTTCGACATTTTTTGCGCGATTTTTATCATCCTCCGTTTATCCCGTCCATTAGTCGCGAACCATTTTTTCCAATGGTTCTGGCTGGTTCATTTTTTTTTTTTTTTGATTTTTCGGTTTGTTTTTTTTCCCTTTTTCTTTTTTTATAAAAAATAAAAAAAAATTGCAAATTGAATTTCGATCAGTGCTTTAGATTATTTTTTTTTTTTAATTACGATTCATTATCACCTTTGTTGCTTATAGATTGATTTATTCCATTGCTTACTACTCCATATTATATTCGTGAAAGGATACTTTTATTTAACAACGTTCCTTTTAATCCTAGACAAAGAATAATATAAGAAAAGAGTACGAGTTGATAATATATTCTAATTTATTCTTTTTATAATTTTTCTCTTTATGATTGGATCAATTTCCGTATATCATTAACGATAATAATAGCGATAACCGAACACATTTGTTTTGGTCCATTTATTATTATACAATTATATTATTATTATTATTATTATTATTATTATCTATAAATCATATATGATTAACTTAAAAAAGAAAAAAAAAAGAGGGAATTAGAGTATCGTATCTTCGATATTTTACAATGATCACTCGAATTTATAATCATTCGAAGTCCAATCGAAGCTTGTTCTCAGAAGTAGTCACGGATCGAAGGTACTACACTCTCTCTCTCTCTCTCTCTCTCTCTCTCTCTCTCTCTTTCTCGGGCAATATCTTCTTCCGCTCCAATTGGCCGAAACTCATTGGCGTACACGTACCTTCGAAAATAAGTTGTACAACGTCGAAGACGACGAAGACGACGAAGAAGACGACAATTTGTTGTGAACGAAAGCGTGTATAACAGGAGTTGCTCGTTATAACGTCGGAATCCATGGGGTTTACAAAGCTACGTGACTTTTCTAACTTTATCATTTTCTTCTTCTTCTTCTTCCTCTTCTATTTTTATTTTTTACTTTCTTTCGTTTTTCTATCTCTTTTATTTCCTTTTATTTTTTTTTATTTCTTTAGATTAACCATTTTACCATTGGAAAAGATGTTTTACACATTTTAACCGTAAACATTGAACCGATAATTTAAGCTCTTTTATCAATTACAGTTCTCGTTCTCCTCCTATCGGAAAAATCTTTACAATTTCGGAATGAAATTTGGCCAAAAAAAA